ACATGCACTCTGGTGTGGGGCAAGTTGTGCCACTTGGGGCAAACTGACTGTGCACAGCTCCTCCCGCAGCTGCGGCCATGGGGAGCTAGAGGCTAGGGCCATCACCTGTGCTGACCCCAGCAGTATAAAAAGCTGCCCTGGCAAGCAGCTGATGGCTACTTGCTCTCAGGAGCTTCTGGAGCCCATCCACTTCGTATCTGGGGGAACTAGCCCCTGTGCCAGCTGGACTGCTGAAGCAGCCCTAACCTAAAGTGACCCCTACACCCTCTACCCACTGCAGCAGTCTGGCAGTGGATACTGCTGCCCAGCTATGACTTACTGCCACCTGCGACAGCATGCAGCCACAAGGCCGTGCACCAGCCAGATCTGGATTGTGACTGCATGGTCACCTGGGCTGTGATATGGGCACTGTAGCAGAGCCTCCTGCACCTCTGGACTAGCTGCCAGTGGGCCGTGTCTGCACAGCTGGCCTTCATACAACACTGCTATCATATTTTCTGGTGCCCCTGCCCTGCCATCTGGCCATCAGTTTGGAAGCCTACCAGTGCCTCTATCATCATAATAAAAAATTTAAATATCTATACACTTTGGCATTTGCTTTTGGTTTTTTTAACATAGAAAAATCAGAACTGCCCCTGCCCCCTTTGCTCACCAGGATGTGGAGCACTGAGTAGCACTGATATGCCAGTGCCCTGCCCCTGCCCTTGATTCCTGACCCACAGCCCCTGCCTGCCTCCACTAGTGCCCTCCCAGCAGCAGCTCCATCCCAGCACTAGGATATGGGTCCAAGTATCAAATTTAGAGCTCGGGCTGCAAATAGGCAGTGCAGGGAACATTTTTTAGTTCTTAACATGCCTTCTGTGGTGTCTCAAACTGATCTGAGATGCCACAACAGGCACATGCATGGTCATCTGGATGTGCCCAATGTGTTTAGGATAAGAGACTCATCGGGATTTGGAAAGCTCAGACTATGGCCGTGCAGAGTAAATTCTGATGAGCTGGTACGACAATTAATGTACACAACACCTTTGCTGTATCACCTTCCTCTATTCCGTGTCTTAGAATTTGCATTCTATGACTGAAGTAGGACTTTATTTTTTTTTCAGAAGAACTTGTATAGCTTGTACACATGGCCTTTCTTTTAAGTGAGAAGCTAGGACCACAATTTCGTGAACTGCATCTTCAATAAAGTATCCACTTGCTTTTACACAGATCTGGTTCTTTGCCAAAAGGAGCTTCTGCTAAATTGAAGATGCTGCTCTTTGCTCAGTACCTCAGCTCCCTCAAGATACCTGTTCCTGAAATAGGGCTGCAAGATCACAGTTTAAAGTCATGGCTTTCCTATGTATCAGGGGTGCTCAACCTCCAGTATGTGGACTAAATGAGGCCTGCAAAGCCATCATATCTGGCCCATGGGGACTCCCCATGGGTAAGGAAATTTGTCATCTTTGGGGAGTGGCCATTAATATTGCTACTCTCCCTTTGCCAAATTCCCAAACCCCAAGCCCAGTGCAGCCAGTCAGGCTGGGCTGCAACCCCTAACCCACAGAGCCAGGCCACACCTCCCCCCACTTATGAACTGGCCCCAAGCCACACCCCAGTCCCACCCCACAGGCCACGGTTGGTACCTGGCCATGCCCCCTTCCCCCATGGAGCTGGGTTGGGACATTGCTATGCCCCTCCCTCCCCAAAATCGAGCCACACCCCTTTCCCTCAGCAGGACGTGGTTGGGGTTTGGCCATGCCCCATTCCCTCCTGCTGGGGCTGAGCCATGCCTCCTTCCCCCATGGGGCAGAATTGGGGCTTGGCCACACCCGTTCCCTCCCACTGGGGCCAGGCCACAAGCCCTTCTCTCCTTATAGGGCTGAGTGGGAGCTGGTGATGCCACCCCGCCCTCCCCACCAGCAAAGCCAGGCCACATCCCATTCCTCTCCACAGGGCCAAGTCAAACTCCTTTTCCCTTCAGGGCTGTGTTGGGGCTAGCCTGCCCCCTACTCCATTCCACACAGCCAGTTGGTGCCTGCTGTGCCCACCTGGGTGCCGGATCAGGAACACCAGCTGAATTCAGCTCATGGATGGACCAGGCACTGCCCATCCAGCCCTCCAAGCAGAAAAGATTGAGCATCACTGATATAGTTATGTATACATAATGGCAAATCTTTGAATTCGTAGAGGGACTGAACCACAGCACAACCTCATAACAACTAACCCTATTTATAAGAATCCTCTGTACTCAACAGAAGGGACTGATTTTTTTTCCCTTTTTTTGAATGAAAAGAATGCAGCAAACTGAATAGTCCTATTATAGGGAACAACCCCTTTTATGAACTCTTTTCTCATTCCCATAGGGGTTCACTGTAATGAGGTTACACTGCATTTAAACAATTTCTATTCTAGTAGGAAGGCAAGAGGGTCAGACCATGTGATAATCCCTTGCGTGTTTTTGCCAACTGATCACCTGCTTATTTGTGATAGATTAGTTCTTGTCTTTTAAAACACATCACATTACAGAATGTAAAAAAAAAACCCTTAGGCAAGTGCATCACAACACACACATGCCCCAACTGCATGTCGATAAGTTAGTCCTAGGTATATAAGGGTTTTGTGCAGGGGTGGGCAAAATGCAGCCCACCAGGTCATTCTATCCGGCCCATGGAGCCCCTAAAAAAATTTAGAAAATTAATATTTATCTGCCTGTCATGCGGCCCTCAATGGCTTGCCAAAACTCAGTAAGCAGCCCTTTGACCAAAATAATTGCCCAACCCTGGTTTTGTGGAATCCCAGAAATTGTATTGAACACTAAGATCTCTGAAGTGGTTACAAGGCTGTCCTGCAACTCAAAATCTGCCACTTGACAAAAAAAAATTTGCTTCCTTCACACCCCAGAATTTTCCCCCTTTTCTTTAATGGTACTTACTTTCAACCGACACAAAAGGATAAGGCACCATGCCCTTAATGGCCTGAGCTGCTAAAAGAGCTGCTGCAGCTTCTGTATTTTTAAAGCACTGGTCTGACTCTTCAGCGCACTGTCGATTGTCAATTTCCAGGAACACCTTTGTGCTGTAAGAGCAGAAGAGAGAATAGGTCCTACTAATCAGTTTCACCAGACAAAAATAGAGAGTCTTCCAGGCTAATACTTTCACCTTGCTCTGGATTAAACAACCTTGATAGTTTTAGGCTTCCCCCTGGCAGAAGGCCAATACATCCCCTGGCCTAAAATACTGTATGTTTTGTAGACACCTTGTAATTCAGACTTCACAGTCCTAGTAGAGAAAAGCAAAGAAATTTGCTCACCCAATGGCCTCTTGTTCAAGCTCTCTGGCCTTACGAATGACCAACAGGGATCGCCGGCTCCGTAGTGCTGACTTCTCTCCATAGTATGGGTATACCATCAACTCTCCCTGGGAATCCCGTTTTATTCTCAGGTTGGTGTGTAGAAGGGTTCCTAGAGTCCATAGGAAGCTATGGACATCTGAAAGCAGCTGGTCAGGGGGCATTAGCACCACAATTATAAGGGTACCTTCTGCCAGCTTCTCAGCTTTGTCACCAGCACAGTCCAGACCATCCCAACCACACTCCTCATTGTTACATCCTTTGTCACAGAGGCCATTCGCATAGTGATCCTCACAATATTTACCATACCTGGAAGAGGGACAGAGGGTTATAGACAGTAACATACTGACAGCTGTAGCCTGGGGTCCTGTCAACTAGGATGCAAAGCCTTCCACCACTAGCTAGTCCATTCCAGTGCGGGTCAAGCTCAAAATGATGGATTAGACTCACGCATTTTAGGTGATAAAATTCACCTTGAGGGTACCATTTACAATGTGACCTCACATCTGGAGCGAGGTATAAGTGGAAAGCATAGAGCACCTGGTTCAACTGTAGTGTGAGCAAAATGAGAATTATTTAGATCAGTCAAGAGGACTGCACCAAATACTGGAGACACATCATAGCATGTCCAGCCCTACCACATGACCAGTTATGTTGGTAAAGTTGTACCACGTGCTGCCAGGCAGGAAACAGGGCAGCACATAAATCACACCTTTAGGTCTCAGACATTGCACCTGAGCCAAAGAAATGCAGTACTTTTGGGGAGCAAAACAGAAGACACTAGGCCAACACGTGAAAAAAACAAAAAATTTAAATCCTGCTCTCCCTAGTTTGTGGTGAGCTCACATACATAGCATTTTTTTGTGAAGCAAGACCCACTGACTGCTCCATCGGATCCAGCAAGCAAGGAACCATATGGTGTCATTGATCAAACTGTCATTTTGCCCCCAAAACTCAGCATCTTCCAAATATTATTTCCAAAGAGCTGAGAAGCAGGTGAAAGAAGGAAAAGTTCTTTGAGGCATGAAGTGCAGCGAGAGCATTGTGATTATGCACCATTCATAAGGCTGAGGGAGCAGAGGCTGTGCAGGCCAAGCATATAAGTTGTTAAAAGCAATAGCAAGAGATGGATTAGTTACAGAAACCACTGCTGCCAGCATCGGGCCTTACTTGCACGTCTTAGGGTTCTGCTGACACTCAAAGTTGTCAAACAAGCACTCAGGTGTATTACAGGCCTCATCGCACAAGCCATTGAAATGCTCCCAGCAGCGCAGTGACGAAGAACAGTTGGCCCAGGGATCTTCTATCATCAGCGAACAGTCCCCTCCATCCCACTGGCACGCGTGCGTGTTGCAGTCTTCATCACAGTAGCCGTCTTTTGCTCTTTCCATGCAGTGTTGACCCAGACACCCTTCAGGTTCTCGGCTGGGGTGTACTGAATGCTCACATTGGCTGCCTTCAGTGTAACTGGGACACTGGCAGTAATAATAAGGAGCCTGAGGCCTAGGATGGCAACTTCCCCCATTCTGGCAGGGTGCACTGGTACAGCCCGCAGTAGCCTGGCACTCCTCACCCACCAAGAGCTCTGGACAGTAACAACGGGGCCCTGAGGATGTCTGGATGCACAGTTCCCCTTTCTTGCACCTCATTTGCCCACAAGTATTGCTGAATTCACATTTAGACCCAGAATAACCCTAAGGAGAAAAAAAGGGGGGGCAGGAGATCACATTGAGTATGGCTCTTAAGAGATAAGCTCTCAATTTTGTTATGCAGAGACATGAGTTTATCAATGAATACCTGCATCTCCACCCCGCACATCAAAGCCAGTACCCCCTTTCTAGGAATGTGTGGTGCTTCCCTAGATCTAAACCACAAAGACATGCTCTGAAAACCTTCAGTGACCAGGTGAGCCAAGCAGAAAAATCCACCAATGAACACGTCTCTGTTCCATGAATCTGCTTTCTCCTATCTCACACTGCATTTCCATAGTGCGTTTCACCCTTGAAGTGCATCTCCCATAGTTAAACTTCCAAGTCTTGCAACTTCCTGGGACATATTTTCCAGGCTTGGATAAATATACCACATATAAACCAGGATAAGTTTTATTTACCTTACACTATAACCCTGGTTTTCTAATAACTTTCCAGAATGTTCATGCCTTGCAAAATTAATTCTCCCATGCTTGATCAGCACATGAAGTTGTGTGCACACCTGTCCTTGAAAAGCTGGTACAAATGTTAGTTTGGTTTTTATTTAAAGAAAGGGCTTGGCATAGTCTGGAGCAAAGCAAGTGGACTTGAGTAGGGGCAGATCCAGGGGGAGTGAACTTCTGCACTTGTACCCCTTTGATTCCCTGTCTACCAAAGCTTAAAACCAACTGCCCAGCAGTGACAGCAGTTGCTACTAGTCAGGCAGTGCTGAGGGAGTCACTTGACTTCTTGGCTCATTATAATCAACCTGATCTCTTCTAAACTCTTCATTCCATAGATGTTAATGACCCTCTCCTTTGTAATGGTTTTGATGTTCCACCAGTCAAACTAGTCTTTCTTCTGCCATGCTGCTGTCTGTTAGCTGCTCCTGGTAATGAAGCTCCTATTGCACAGCCCTGCAGATTATTTTTAACTCATTCCAGTGAAGTTATCTTTGTTTTTGCTTCAATCTTAAACGGAATAATACAGCCCTAGGTCCCAAGTATATTAGTAAAGCTTCTAGTTTATTTTTAGCTGGAAAAAATGTGTTGCTTTATATGCAATGTTGCACCTCACCATCTGCACCCTTCTTTTCAAAATTCTAGATCTGCCTCTGGACCCAAGGAGGACCCAAAAGCCTAGTAATAAATATTTAGCAGAAAAGGTAGTTAAGCCATCTCAACAAGGAACTTGCTGGTAGTAGTAATGAGCAATGCCAAGTTCCATATAACTGCCTATGGCATTCAAATGTCACTGACTGACTGGTGAAGGAACTGCACTTACTTCCTCAGCTGGGAGGCACAAGAGTGGTAGAAAAGGACAGGGCTTTCCAGGCAGTGCAGAAGGGGTATACTCCACTTACAAAGGGAATCAATGCAAAAAATTATGAAATCAAAACATAACAGAAGCTCTGTTGTTCTTTGCTCTGCTTTCAGGGCTGTCATGGTACAAGAAAACTGGACTAAGCAATGCAATCTGAAGGCAGGTCACTTACTGGAGGACACTGGCAGATGAATCCATCAGGCATATTACTGGCAACAGCACAAGTACCTCCATTCTGACAAGGCTTCTGAGGACACACATCTATCACAGTTTCACAGTGACGGCCTGTTGCACACACATAAAGGAGGGAAAGAAGAGGGGAGAAACTTAGTTGCATGGAGAAGGACCACCAACTATTGCCTTTCTTTTTCAAAAGGAAACCCTTTCAGCAAATATTTCTATCTCATCCTATCACCCTGACTGTCTCCCACGGGCCATGGTTTATGAGAGGGTCGATTCTGGACCCACTGCCAAGATGATATTGAAAAACTAGAGTGAATAGAAGGGGACGGGGAGGACCTAAATACAAATACTGTATACTGGGACTGGCTTGGGGAGAAATTAAATGTCTAAAAATGAGAAAGTCATGTTGAAAACAACACACAAATCGTACATCCTTCAAACATCTGTAAACTCAAAGGCAGAGAATTCAAATGATGAATGGGGAAAAACTTGTACCAGGAAATAAAGATGGAAAAGTGATGAATACAAGAAGAACACTTCTATCAGCTAAGAGTCTTGAGGTAAAGGCTAATCTTCAAAGGTGACTGTGGAAATCCCATTTCTTGAGGTTTCTGAAACAAAACTGGTTTTATGCAATCACTAGAAGACAGCATAAGGACCACTCATGGATTGCCAGGGAAATAGAATGGATAGCTTAATAGCATCAAAAAAAACCCCCAAAAAACAAGAAAAGACCATGTTTTGACTAATTCAGGAGGAAACAGAGGGACTGTGTCCTGGTACTTACCAGTAAAGGCACTGCGGCAGATACATGTATAATTATTAACCAGCTGAACACAGTCTCGGCTACCACGAGGGCTACAAGGGTTGGAGAGGCATTCATTAATGTCCCCCTCACACTGCTTGCCTCCGAAGCCTGAAGGACAAAGACAGCTGTGGCCCCCAATTTGGTCTATGCACTGTCCTCCATTAAGGCAGCGAGGCCCTCCTGAATCTGGCATGCAGTCATCAATGTTCTCCTCACAAAGAAGGCCTGTCAAAACAAGCAAAAGTAACTTGAGTTTTTGGCCTGGCCAACTTGCTTATTATTGCTATTATTCTGGTCTAAATGTTGCAGGAATGTTCCTAACACAAAAACATGTTTTGTACTCAAGTTTCTGATACGCACTCTTAACCACAATCTAACTTAAATGTAACTATGCCTGAGAATTTCCTGTAGGAAAATTTTCCTATAGGAAACCTAACAAGACATTCAAAGGGAATGCTACCATGTGAGGGCTAATGAGTTTTAAAATTTAATCCTACGGCTAGATTCACTGCTTGCGCAGCCATTATACAGCTTCTTTGGGGAAATGCAAAGTAACTATGGCATCTCAGACAAATCTGCAGATGTTTTCTGTGATCAGAGCAGCATAAAGAAGTCAGAGTGCGTGGGTGAACACAACCCTTAACTTGTCATTACATTTTTTACTTGAATTGTTACAGTTTCTTCTCTGGGAAAATTTATGTTAATGTTCTGCAGGGGAAAATGCTGAGCAATTACCAAATTTGCTGATAAAGTAGGGATCAGTGTTTATAAAGCCTGAGGATCTATGAAAGCCTGGAGGAAGACCCTGCCATGGAGAGTAAAGGATGGATAAGAGAGGTTTTGTGAGGGGATTACAGGGGAGCACAATGGGATGGTTAGAGGAAAGGGATCATAATAAGTATTCATTACACAAAATCAGTGTCCATACCTATTTGAAAACTAAACACAGAGAAAAAGTGACACTGGTGTTTGCTGAAGCATTCAGTTTGTGCCCCAAACAAATGCTCCATGTAGCACTTTCCTCTCAGCAAAAAAGGCCTGCTGCCTCCTGCTCCTACTGAGGCACTGGAGAACTGCATTAGGATGGCAGTAGGGGTAAAGAACCCAGTCCCATATTTCCATTTCTCTATGAAACACTTTGGTCTTCCCAGGAAATGTTAACACTTACAGCTTGCAGGGTTGCAAAAGGGGTATGTATATGCACTGGCAAAAACAGCTGCCTCTGCAGTACCATCCTCTTTGCCCTTGCACTCAGCACTCTTTAAGGATGCAAGTTCAAGTAGGGCCCATTTCCACCAGCATTCTCTTGACTGTTCTTTTTTTACTACCACCCCTCTCCTCCATCTTGCAGACATGTAAATTATACCCACATGGAACCCTCAGATACTGCTGACACACACAGAAGTCAGGTTTACTCGACCCCATTTGGATTTAGTAATAGGTAAACAATGGTTTGCAAGCTTAGCCTCTGGTCAGAATGAAAAAGCCATATATAGCTTGAGCTGGCATACCACATCTGTTAAACACCACAAATGGTTAAAAGTTGTAGAGTGGACAGAGCCTCAGATTTGCATTTGGTTTTGTGTCTTTACATGAAACAGTCTGTGGGAGGAAAAATAAATAAAAGATGTTTTCCTTGCTTCATGAGGTAGGAGAATTCTCTTCCCACCCTTGCACTTTCTAAGAAATTTCCAAAACTTACCATATTCAGCTGTAGATCCAAGAAAAATTTTCAGACAGATCTATATACAAAGCCTTCACAGTAATAAGACAAGAAAACAGGAAGATCACAAGGAAGAGACAAGAAGCAACAAGGTAAAGCACTGTAAAAAATTCTGATCAGCTGTACCCAAGAAGCTGGGCATAGAAACAGTTAGCAACCACACAGATGATGTATCAGCAACTCTAAATCAAAGTTAAGATTCTGGAAAGTGATTGACTTCAAAGAAAAGTCAGTCTAGCTGCCATGGCTGCAGGGAAAGCCTCAAGGAGCGCAACCAGCACATGCATCCAACAGCAGCAGCTCTCAGGCATGTGACAGTCTCATTCATTTCTGAGCACCCGTCCATGGTAATACAGGCAGCTTGAGGGTCCTTCCATAGGCAGGAAGAAATGAATAAATCCAGATAGGAATGAGCCAGTAAATTGAAGACTGAAAGGTGTGCTGATACTCTAGTAAATGGCAGAGGGTGAAAAGGAGAGAAATGAGATGTCCCTCTGTTGCCATGAAATGCAAAAAGATATTTTCACTGAAACAATGGGCTGAACACAGCAAAATAAATTCAATGGCAAAATAGTTCATATTGGGGATCTTTGCTGGGCATAGAGCAGAGTTAACATAAATGAATGAGGAGGAAGCAAATAGGAAATGGCTTATGAGTTTGTATAAACTGCTTTGGTATTATGAGCCTTTGATGAGTTCCACCTGGAACAGATGTGACCTCAGCTGGAGAACAATGCTTTAATGGGGACATTATATTTCAAGAAAGAAAACTGAAGTTTCAGAGGAATGTAAAACGTTTGTGACCGAGTCAGGAAATCAGTTCATAGATTCATAGATGCTAGGGTCAGAAGGGACCTCAACAGATCATCAAGTCCAATCCCCTGCCTAGGCAGGAAAAAGAGTGCTGGGGTCAGATGACCCCAGCCAGACGCCTATCCAGCCTTCCCTTAAAGGCCCCCAAGGTAGAGGAGAGCACCACTTCCCTAGGAAGCCCATTCCAGATTTTGGCCACCCTTACTGTGAAGAAGTTTTTCCTGATACCTAGCCTAAATCTGCTCTCTCTCAGTTTGTGACCATTGTTCCTTGTTACCCCAAGAGGTACCCTGGTGAACAGAGCATCTCCAATCCCTTGCTGCGTACCTGTAATGAATTTGTAGGTGGCCACAAGATCACCTCTCAGCCTTCTTTTGCAGAGGCTGAAGAGGTCCAGGTCCCTCAGTCTCTCCTCATAGGGCTTGTTCTGTAAGCCCTAACCATATGAGTGGCCCTCCCTTGGACTCTGTTGAGTCTATCAACATCCTTCTTGAAGTACAGCGCCCAAAACTGGACACAGTACTCCAACTGCGGTCTGACCAATGCCACATAGAAGAGAAGTATCACCTCCTGCTGATGCATGATAAAGTGTGGTTAGCTTTGATGATGAAAAGGTCTACAAGGAAAGACTGAATGAATTGGGCACATTTAGCTTGGAAAATGACCAACGGAGGTAGGAAGAATTTGCTGCCACAAGTGTTCTTTATACTAAGAAAATCAACGCTAAATTTTAGAAAAAAGTTATATGCAACAAGCTGTCAAGGGAGGTTATATAATCATCATCAGCAAGACAAATGCTGAACAACTGAAGCAAATCAAATTTGCTCCAATGGACTAGCAGAGCCTAGGTTCACCAAAATAATTCTCACAAAATAATTTCTCCGACAGAGAAACAGAAGCTAAAATCTTAGTAATCAAAGGGGCAAGGATCCTGGAGTTACACAACTAAACATGCTTCCTAAAAAGCTAGTTGCATCCCCACTAAAAAGAAATCCAACTGGTTAGAACAGTGACTGTCAGTCATGGAAACATTAAATCCTTTTAAAGATGCTATGGGGTGCTCCACAATATTAGCACCGACAGGAGATTTCAAACAGTGTCAAAAACATTCTGCCCTGCTGTGGGCTTTCTGAGTTCCGTGCAACAGAAGAATTCCTCTGTTATTTTTTTGTGGTCAAAGAACGAGTGAAAACTAAGAGCTGACATTTTCTGAGGGGTCTAATGAGGGATGCCTTGAGTCTAAAAGTGTTGAGAACCACTGGGCTAGAAAATAATAGACCGGGGAGACATCTGTTTCCCTCAGGGACTCATAGCATTTTATTTGAAGCCTATTCAAATGAAATTAATTCATTCCTGCAAGACTACATGTGTGGAAACCACTCTATAGGAAAGAAGTGAAATTCCTGTAGCTTTTTACTTTATTATTGAATTTCATACCCCGAGTTCCTGGTGGACAGGAGCATTTGAAGTGATTGATGAGATCAATGCAGGTTCCTCCATTTTGGCAGGGCTGGAACTGACACTCATTCACTTCATACTCACAGTTGACACCCTGGTACCCTGGCACACACTACAAACATAAAAAAAAGGAACAAGTGTATATATCTTACCCAACATGGACACATAAGCATGTATCTGAGATTAATGCACCCTAACCTAAAACAGGACAAAAAACCCAAAAATTTTCAGTGGCCAAATTCTGCTCCTATATGCATGTGGGCAGCCTTAATGATTTCAGTGAGAGAAGTTAACCAGGTAAGTACTGTACTGCTCACAAAACATCTAAAGGTGAGCAATCTGCCTCCTACAGGTGTCTTGTAGAAGATCACAAGGCAAAGTTGGAAGGCTTGATGAATCTCAGCTGCTATTAAAAAAAAAAAAAAGTCAAGTCAAACAAACTTCAAGTCTTCAGTAAATTCAACCCCTTCAGAAAATGTGGTTCGGAAAGTTCCACCGTCTTCAAAGCCCATAAAACTGGTGGGCTAAAATAACCTGTGGTGCTGTGACTATCAGCCAGAGGAGTCAGAGCACAGCAAAGGGAGACGGTTACTATCATGGGAGGTAAGTGTTCCACCCATCCTAAGCAGGACAAGTATAGATTGTGTCGATTTGCTTTTTGATTTAATTTTCACATACTTATAAGTTACAAGTGGAAGAGACCTATTAGGTGAATAAATCCATGTCCCCAGAGGCATGGGATATCAGTGACTAACCTCCTGCTAAACTCAAGTCGAATACTGTTCATTCTTATCCTTCCATAGTCTTTCAAAGTGACTCCAAATCCCTGACATTAACCAAGTTTAAATTTTCTCTCTGGGGCATGCTGCATTTTTCCAAGTTGTAGGTCCCTTTGCATTCAGTCTCTTTATTTGGTACTTGGAATTCTTCCTAATAAACCAAATCTGAACATTTCATCAAATATCATGCTTCTACTCTCTCCCTTGACAGTGCTTCTACTCAAGACAATTTGAACATAATCGCGGTTTTGGTTGATAAATAATCAAAATAATTTTTGCAGAGTACCTGGTCACAACCATGGCAAACAGGTGACAATCTCAGCAGCAGAAAGGAAATGAAGAACTGTACAGTGAAAATGTTAAATTGGTGAAATTAGGCATTATCTGTGTTTCCTTTAAACAGCACCCTCCTTTACCTCACAGTTATATCCTCCAAGATAGTCCCTGCAGGTGGCGCCATTCTGACAAGGACTGGAGATGCATTCATCCACCTGCTCTTCACAATAGCTACCAGTGTAGCCTGTCCGGCATTGGCAACGGTGGCTGTTTCCAACGTTAAGGCAATTGCCAGAGTGCTGACACAACTGGTCTACAGGGACCCCTAGAATAAAAGGTTAAGCAAAGTAAGCAGCCATCTGAAACCAAAATTCATGAGAGAAGCCATCACCATTGCTATTTCAGCTACGAACAGTTATTGCTAGACCAAAAAAGCAGAGCCTCTATCTTGGATCCTGGAAGTTGGGAGGAAGGAAGTGTGGGGGGTGGAATCTATTGATAACACTTTGAGGGCTATAATTTTCTGATAACAAAGAAGAACGCCACTTACCCCTCTGTGAAGCAGCCACTTGGCAGGAGACATTGGGAACATCACAGTAGGCACCACTCCAACCAGGGGAACAGTTGCAATGAAAGTGAGTATTCTGCTGGACACATGTACCTTTGTTCTTACAGGGAAACTTGCTACACAGATCCACAAGTATCTAAAACAACAGATTCATAAATGTAACTGATAAGCCATTGTTCACATTTTCTGCCTTTCTTGGGGGTTTAAATCCCCCAAACATTTTACACTCTGATAAAGGCACCAAGATACACTGGGTTTAACTGGTGTCTTAAACTGTCCATTATCCAAGATAAAGAGTTTGCAGTTGTTGCATTTTACTTGCAGACAATTCTGTTCCCACTCACCCAGCTCAACAGACCATTCTCTCATCTCTGAATGACATGTGTCATCCTTACTCACTTATTTCCCTTTTTGAGCATATAGACTTCTACGAAAGCTTAGATGCTTGACTGATGTCAAGCTGACTGCACTGGCTAGGGTAGGTCTTTTAAAAAGAATAACAGTTCTGGATTCAGCTGTTCTACCTGCTTTCAGTTGATAACATTCTTCTTTTAAGAAGAGAACTGTCAATCTGTTTCTCAAATAGATTTAACAGAGAAATCTGTGTTTTCAAGTGCATCGGAGACAATATAATTCTGAACTTGTTCCTGCCTTCCAGGTTTTAGCCTGTTTCTTGTTGGGCTTAAAAGTATAGTATTACCATTTTATCTATAATAAACTGCTGACTATTTAATATACAGTTCCCATAAGGGCTCACTGCTTGCAATTTTATTTTATTTTATTTAGTCCTCCTTATTCCAGCTCTTTGTTAAATTAGATCAAACCAAACTTACTAGACTAAAATTGTAGTGGAGCCTATAAGCTGTTAAGCCCTTCCATTATTAGCTTCAATTGCATTTATAAATTTGAAGAGTGGAGAGTGCTCATATAAAATGTATATGACACACAATGATCAAACTCCTCATTCGGAACACAGAATTTATCTCTGATCTGCTGAGCAGAACTGGGGAACTAGATGATTAATTTTTTTTTGCAACCAAGGTACATAATGTCAGCAAGAAACTGTTCAGTTTCATAGTACTTTACGATCGTCTTTCATGTTCCTTCTCTCAAAATGATTAAGCAATGCGCAACAAATGCATAGTTCAGCTGCTCAGGATGACCGTAACTTGTGACATTCTTATGTTGTCCATTTTCTCTGCAAATGGAAAAGTCTTCAGTGACATAATTCTCCATATCGTTAAATAGATGGTATTCTTGTCTGAGACCCAGTGCTCTTTTCTCTTTCCATTTACAGAATCAGCAACATGGAAGAGCAGGAAAACATTCTTCTTCTGTATGGATGCTTGTAGTCATCACTAGGCCGTCTCTCACATTTGATTAAATCTCTTGCATTAAAATAAGGCTGCTTTAAAAAAATATTCTTCCGTTATGTTTTCCCCAAAGGGCAGGCAGCATCTGGAAGCCAGTTGCTAGGTTAAGTGTCAAATAGTATATGCTGAATAAATTGGTCCAAAAATTATTCAGTCTTGCAATGCCAGGTTAACATGAATGCGACTAGAAAAATTCTTATGAGATACAGGTTCTCTGATGACCTGCGTAGTATTCAGAGCTTATCTTTAAATGGCAGAGATCAAACAGTGCCTGAAAGCAGCCAATTCTTAGGCTTACTTTTGCACTGCCCAAATCAAAAGACGATCATGGCTATGTTTTAATGACCATAGCATCCAAAATGTCTTATATGCAACCTGAAATTAATGACCTGCTTCCACTTTGATAAGCCATTTTTTCAATGGCATATTTGATATGGAATTGATCTAAATTCTCCATTTAGAATTGAGTTGCAAGCTTGAAATGAGCATGAACCCCACCTTAAAGTAAAATTCAAAAAATGTCAAAAGTTCAGTTTTCATTAATTTGTTGTAATACATCATTTCCTACCACTGCCTTAAACTTTAGACATTTTGGAGTAAAAAGTTCACACTAATATTTGGTAATGACTGCACAGTCATTTTCTATACCGATCAGCAGCTTCCAATTTTACTGTAGGAAACCACTACTTATAGTGCATAAAACTGTATTAACACTAGGTTGTAAAACCACTATGCCCCAGACTAATTGGCTATAATGGGCCTATTCAATTTAATGGACTGAATGATCATTTCAATTATTTTCCTACAAGAGACACCTTGACTGTTGGTATTGAACAAACTGTTACTCCAATTAACAGACTAGGTAGGGGAAAAAAAAGTAGAGTTTGTCTGAGAGCACAAAACAGCATGTCAGTGTTGCAATGGGTGAGCAGTTAATTCTGCTATATTAACTATATTTAATGTCTCTATCCAAGTGATGCCTACCTTATTTACACACAAATTCTGACCTGCAGTAAAGCAAGCCTGAAGTGAAAATGAAGTAAGCAAGCTACCATTATCCTGGGCAGAGAACTACACACAGAAGGCTTTTGATGCTGTTCATTTTCTTCAGAAACCATACCACATGCTAATTTCAGATGTGGCTTCCTTCTCCAAAACTGTGGTTGAAGAGTTTAACTTCTAGGACAGACATAGCTGAGCTGTGTGCGTTTTAGATAGGACGGAAAGCATTAATAAGTCCTTGCCATAACAAGGATTTTAATGGCATCAGCTGCTTTATTACAAAATAGCACTGAATACAGTTGGCCTTATCTGCATGAGCGTGTCAACCACCTCCCAGTGGAAACAAGGGAAATGGGGCTCTGCATTGTTTAAAACCTGGTATTCATTCAATCTGACTATTTTGCTATACAAATGTTCAGACAAAAGTAACAAGTAAGAATGGACCAGCTGAAATAACTGCTGAACATCTAGGTCTGGGCTACTTACCTGACAGTTCTTTCCAGTGTAACCCATGGGACAAACACAATTATAGGTCCCCAGGCTATCCACACAAGTCCCTCTGTTCAAGCAAGGATGTGAATCACATTCATTAATTTCCATGAGACAAAAGGTTCCCGTGAACCCAACCGGGCACTGGCATGTAAAGGAGTTGATCCCATCCACACAAGTGGCTCCATTGAAACACGAACTGGAAAGACAAAATAAGAGTGAAAAATATACTAAAAGACAAAATACAAGTTAGCTTACAGCCAAAGATTTTATATAAGATTTACAGAAGTGAGAAAGAACCAGTCCTACTAAAACTCCAGCCATCACTAGGACTTGTCAGTCCAGTCCACTCATTTTTTTAGGTTAATTTTTGGATACTGCAAGCTTGTAACAGATATGCTCTCCACTAAAACTCTTAGGTGTTTTCCAACATGATGTCTGGACAGCAGTAACCTCCTCATTAAACACATCTGCTTTGGATAGTTTATCCACAGACCTAGAGCAGAGATTCCTCAACATATTACTAATGACAACTTCCACTGTTCAGACTTCAATTGCTCAGACTTCCTCCCCTCCCATTAGCACATATAACATCCCTTTTGCAACCACTGCAATTACATGTACTGAAGAAAAATAAGGAAATTTAAATCTGAATATCTTTAAATACAGTCAGTCTGCTGCAGGCAAGAACCAGAATCACATAATCGGCAAATATGTTGAACCACAATTTGAGGATTCCCTGGTCTGGAAATAAATGCTTATCATTAGGTCACCTACCTCACCTCTGTTGAGGCAGCATTGCTCAAATATTCCCTCTCAACCTAAATGTACTGACAGAAAGGGCTTCCATGATTTTCCCTTCAAAAGATTATTCCCAATCTGTAGTACGTGAGCTGGTTGGAAGTGGTATGCCAAAACCAACTTTGAATTTTTCAGTTTCAAAGGAACAGTCGTCACAAGCACAAATATGCTCCAGCTACTAATTAACAGCTTTTGAGAAGGTAACAAACAGCTGTTAAATTACATGATTCCAACCACTCACTGGATTGACCACAAGGGGTAAGGAAAGTAAACTAGTTCCTCAGTGAATCATTTGCCTACTATCCAATCACACAACGAAACTCTGTCTACTCCAATGTCAGCCCACCACAAAGTCCAGCTCTTTGAAGTACATATTTCCCTAAGGAAGACAGTCGAGAAAGCAGTAACAGTTTTGGTGGCATTTATGCGAATGTCCTAGAAGCATCATACCATATCAATTTGAGGGTTGTTCATATGGCATGACTGATTTTAGAGAACAAAGCTGCAAGGCAGCTTGATGAGTCTTGAATACTTCTTAAAGAAATGATGAGTCAAGTAAAGGAAAAAAAACTCATGGAATGTAATAAACAATTTTTTCCCTTGCAATTATGTGAAAGTTCCATTATTTATGCTCAGCTCTTATAGACTAACATTTTGAATGAAAAGAGACAGTTATAAAATAATTCTTGTTTTTTGAAGGTATCAAGATGTACAATAATCAAGAAGCAAGATCTGTCAAGCAGGATCTTGTTTCTCTCATATTCCCATGAACATAGCACATCATTGTACAAGGTGTACAATGGCAGAAAAACTCTTCGGAAAACTGAATGATCTTACCACAGCAAACAGTGGTGGGGAAAAACTGCTTCACTGAGTGCTCTATGGCTAACTTCCTCTCTCTGTGGGTATAAGCAGAAGTCACCAAAAGAAGCAGATCAGCTGCAGCAGGATGTGCCCTGCCATAGCTGATCGGCTTTATAGGGCAAAATGTATGTCACCTGCTGTCTCAGCATCAGGCAGGGGTCCAAGCCTGTGGAACAACAGGCAACACATTGTCCACTTAAACAGAGACAAGCCTTGAAGATACCCTGCAACACAGCTCCATAAGTGGAGATGCTAGGGCTTCCTGCTTAATGACATGCCCCAGAGATTGCCCAGGGTGCATCTCTATAAGAGGGGAAAGTCAGGCAGGTGCTCCTAGGCTTTGAGGGGCCTGATCCTTCACAAGAATTCCCAGGGTGCACAGAATCAAGGCCCCACAAGCCCTGGGAATGCCTGCTGGCTCCAGGCTGCCTGCAGTCTTGCATCATGAAGCGCACAGATCTCTAGTGCAATAAAGTGGCAGAAAGTATCACCACCTTTGGTGCAGCCACAAATTTGCGGCATTTGTGGTACAGTCAGGGGTACAGGTATCTGTTTACTTGGCCTTTGGGCTGCCGTAAAAAAATTTTATGGTGGCACAGAGGTGACATCTATTTCCACCCTATGAAACAACAACCAAAAATTTGGCTAAACAAGTGTTACCTGATGTTGAGACCCCTCATTACAGCATGTGCTCCAAGGCACTTGCTGAAAACTGCCTGTCAGTATGAAGCCCTTCTGGAACAGGAATCAAGATGGCAAATTTTATTAAAGCACATGCACAGAACACATATTATCAACTTCAAGAGACAAAATCAAAAGTGATCAAAGACTTCTTTCCACAGCATCAAGATGGCCTTTGTGTAGGAGGCTGCTGACTCATCTCTCTGAACTTTGCTCTGCAGTACAAGTTCTAATTAATGATCTTAGCTTTGACTGAGCTGAACTGCTTGGCAAATGAGCTATAGCTGCCAAAGACCAACTACCTTTTATTGAGCTGACCCACTTTCCTGTCTCAATAGGCTGAACACTACCTAGCTTCCAAAGACTGAAAATTGCACCTGCTCATGATCATTTCATAGTTTCATAGTTAGTAGGGTCGGAAGGGACCTGAACAGATCATCAAGTCTGACCCCCTACCATGGCAGGAAAGAGTACTGGGATCAAACGACCCCAGCGAGATGATTGTCAAGCCTTAAAGCCATGGCAAGGCAAAGAGGGAAACTGCCAATGACTCCATGCTGGAAAATTTCCTCAATTAAAATGTATTCCTGGCCTAACTGTTGACATAAAAACATAGCCTGAATTTGATCCCAACTTCAATAGAAAAGATTGGGCCAGAGACCATCTTCAAAAAACGATGACACCCTAGGTGTGGTGGCTCCTCAACCAAGGAAAAGGAAAGGTTTGACTGAATTGTCCTATGATGGGGAACTAAAGCCAAAATTCAGCTAACTGCAACTCAGTGACTTTTGGTTGACAGTGACAGAGTTAACCCTAGAATCATAAAAAGTTAGTGTTGGAAGGGACCTCAGGAGGTCATCTAGTCCAACCCCCTGCTCAAAGTAGGACTGTCCGCAACTATACCATCCCAGCCAAGCCTTTGTCTAACCAGGTCTTAAAAACCTCCAAGGAGAGACATTTGGACAGAGATTTGATATTTCTTGCATCTTTCAGCTCTATGCACCTCCAAAAGACTGGTTTATTTCCTGATGGCTAAAGACAGAATGAATTTCAATGCAGAACTGAACCTTTTACTTAAGTTCATCAAATACCTCACCTGCCATAAGCATCTAGGTTCTGCAAAGCAGTATGTTTTACCCAGTTCCTGTAATGTACCTGTGTGCACAAAGGCACACCCCCAGGTAACTGTGGGTCAATGCTTCTAAGCTGTGGGACACTGTCTCTGCTCAGGCACAAAGAACAGGCCCGGAAAAGGAGTTCTGTTACAGCTGGCTCCTTTGGGGAAGTGCAGTCCTGTGTTAAGTCACAAGTTAAGCCAGTATCCTTTGCCTGCAACTCAGTTAGGTCCTTATGCCACATGTCAGGAAAATAGCAGGCCCATTTCTAACATTACTCCTGAATGGGACTGGCTTCCAAACCACCAGGCAGTATTTCGTAGCTACTCACTCACACTGTCAAAAGAAATGTAAATGTACTTGCCTCTCAGTGCATTCATTGATGTTGTTCTCACAATTGGTCCCCTCAAATCCTGCTGGGCACTTGCATGTGTAGCTGTTGACATAGTCAGAGCAGGTGCCTCCATTCTTGCATGGTTCACTCAGACACTCATTGGTATCTGTCTGACACTGCTCCCCTTGGAACCCAGGCAGACAGATGCATGAGAAAGAGTTCACCCCATCCACACATGAAGCTCCATTCTGGCAGGGGTCTATAACAACACCACAAATAAAAGTTATTAATCAAGGTAAAAGCAGGGAAGGGACTGGCTCTGAGTAGTTGCCCTGTGGAAAGAGCATTTCTGTCAACTTCTACAAACCAATCTATAGCAAAAAATATAATTTAATACTAAATTCCACATGATTATCCTGTAAATAAAAAACTGGTGAAAAGCAAAAGCCATGAAGCATGGGTTTACCAGACATCTTCCCAGCTAACACGAGGGCTACCTGTATACCTCAGCCTAGTGCCCTCAAACACAATACCATCTCACACACACTGACCATTGAGCCAAAAGCTCCTTGCCCCATCACACCACACCCTCCATTAATTTATCAAAATATCAATTTAAAAAATGCCAAAATGAGGCTGCACAGTTGTTAGCTTGAATGAAGAATGGTATGGCAATCTTTGGTGCAAGCTTTAGCTAGTCCTCTGATGCTGGTGCAGTAAGACACAGGCCTTCATTATGCAAAGGTACAATCCAACCATGGAGAAAGTATTTACTACTGGAAAAATATGTTCATATGATTAAAGTCTGCATTGGTAGAAAGAACACCTGCATCCATTTAAAGGTCACAAAGCCATTGCAGAGATAAGTACTTAAAAAGTCAAACTCTTGGCAGCTATAAAGTGCTGTGCCTATGGCAGTCAGTCACTGTAACTAGGGCTGAAAGCTGAACATTGATTGTCAGCACTGCATATTTGCAAACAAGTAAAGGGGGTGATTATATCAGCTCTTCACTGTGTTTTCATTATTGGAAGGGTCCATTTACTTCTGGGATGTAAAGACAGTTGGCCCAAATCAAAGAAGGTTTTTGTTATTGCTACAGCTGACTTAATTTGGTGAGTTCTGCAAACCCTCCTTTTGGATGTGTTTAAAGTACTAGGAATCATGCTAGATCAATCTTGTGACTTTACTTTCAGATAGGGTAAAACATGTGAATCATGTGGGATTTTAGATATCAAAATAACTAAGATAAAGCCTTTTTTTTTCAAAGCAGCCTATGAAAGTGTCCTTTTACACTGGAGTCCTAGAACAAATGCAACAGCACTACCAATAATCTAATCTCCTTCCAGGGGATGAGGTTACACGATCCACATACCAAATCAAAATGACCTTAGTATTGACTGTTCTATACCAACTTGTTCAGAAAAAAACATTCAAAAAACAGACCAAATGAAATATACCAAAATGGTATCTGCAGCAGTGCTGGAGAGATTTTTAACAGGGCACTCTTCATGTAGTAAACTTCTTTTCAGAACTTTGAAAGCAAGTCCTCCTGAAAAATGTTAAGCTGTCTCCCTTTTCTTTATAAATATCTGATGTTCAACAGGCAAAAACCTGAGTAGGTAGGTAGTTTCCTTTCTATAAAGCAATTCAATTCACGAAAATCTCTTGATCAAATCTGCTTCAGCTTTAGTTCTGGTAACCTTAACTACACGAGTAACTATGTGCAAATACTTATTCTACAAGGAGAGTGCCTGCTGCTTTTTAGTTTAATTTGCTTTCAGAATAAACATATATATGAGTTATTCAGGAATAAGTACTGCACTTTATATCCATGCTGAGCCTTAATCTGATTTAACTTTCAAGGCACACAAGCCTAGGATGTTACACTGATTCTAGCATACATAAAAACTTCACAAACATGAGTCTCAGTTTCAGCTTGTTATGAATGCATGAGAAACATTCAAACTCACACTTGGCATATGACTCCTACCGTTCTGATTATTACAGACAGCTTCTATCAGAGAACTTCTAAGTGCCCATTTCTGTCCCAGAGGTGTAAGTTTTACAAGGCTGAGTATGTTCAAGATAAGGTTTTATAAAAGATACTGATTTCATACATCTACCAAGGGCAGTCACTGTTAAGCAGACTGAGTTATTTCTATGGGAAAACAATCTGCCTGTTTTGTTCCACACTTACTTGAAAGGCAGTCATCAATGTTGCTTTCGCAGTCTCCCCCAGTGAAGCCTGGGTTGCATTCACACAGGTAGCTGCCTTGAATGTTGTGGCAGACAGCATGATTCCTGCAGGGCTTTGACACGCACTCATCAATATCCACCGTACATCTCTCTCCTGAAAGAAGGATACAAGTAAAAGATCTCACAGAGATCAAGAGTCAAACAACATACAATAATCCTGAAGATATTTAATCTTAAAATGAAAGTCCATTTATAGCATCTGATGAAGTAGACTGTAGCTTACAAAAGCTTATGCCTCTAGTCTTTAAAGGTGCCACCCTGCCCTGCTTATTGCCTGACTTCAGACTAACACAGCTAATTACCATTCTCAATATTAACACTGAAACTTATCCCTGCCCTTCCCGTCTCTCCTCCTGCCTACATTACCTTCCCAGCCAGGAGCACACAGACAGATATATCCATCAGAGCCGGATGATTCTTGGCAGATTCCAGAATTCTCACAAGGATCAGGGGAGCAAGGAGCCTGCACTATCTGGCAGTTCACACCTGTGTGGGGAGAACGTATCAGTAGGAACTCAGTGCCCACAGGAGTAAAGAGGTGGGACTCAAGTCATTATCCCATGGGGAAATGGACAGCATTTCCTCTTAGTCACTAGAGTTGGAGAAAAGGAAGATCACAGCTCTTCTTTAAGGAGAAGCTGAGCAAAAGCAAGCAATTATATCACTGTGGTCCCAAGTGAAATGGGGCAGTTTGTGGAAAGAACAGGACAAGTGGATTAACAGTATGCCACACGCACCAAGGGATGGGTTTGAAGTTAGCATATCTAGCTGCACCAAAAAGGTTGCTCCACTACTGAGGGTTGAAGGACAGGATCAGGAGATTTAGTCAAGGATACCCACATACAGAGACTTAGTGGTGGGTGACCGAATTAAATGAATTCAGTTTACTAGGGTCTCTCTCAGGGGTGGGCAAAATGTGGCCTGCCAGGCCATTCCATCCAGCTCACAGGACCCCTAAAAAGTTTAGAAAATTAATATTTATCTGCCCCTAGCTGCCTGTCATGTGGCCCTCGAAGGCTTGCCAAAAGGCTTGTCCTCCACCCAAAATAAATGCCCGCCCCGATCTATCTGAAGAAGAGGGTAGATGCAGAAGCCATGGCTGGAAACGCCAGGCCTCTTGGACACCTTTCCTTAGGGTTTACTTTATCTCTAGGAAACAATCAACTTCAACAAATGAGTAACCACCGCCTGGGACCTTTTCAGTGGGGAGGAGAGAACTCCCCTCTCCCTATGGGACAGCCTCTTTTTCCACCAAGGAGGTTCCCTTTCCTATTATAGCAGCTGTATGGTAGATGGAAACTCTGGTAATCCCTCATATGCCCAAGCACCTTTCCATTTTGTCAGCATCCATTTTTAATGGGGGTCAAGTACCGCTAGTGTCACCAAGGCTGTGGTCATAAGTACATTTGGAAATCTTTCAAAAGGGTTGCAGCTGGTATGTTATAATTACTGCATGTGAATAAACTGATAATTATTCAAATGTAGTAAAACCACTCCAACTTCAACCAAAGATGAAAAATAACAGCTGCTGCCCTTTTGAAAGGGCTCCAAATGTATGTGTCCACACCCTGATTCAGTTCAAATTACTAAAACTGGTTGCAAAAGAGCTGGAAGTCTGGAAGTCTTTTGCAATCACTTATAAATACAGTATGTTAGCTAGGTAATTGGACTATTCAGCGTATGGATAAACAGGATTAACACAATGGAGAGACAACATGAAGGAAAAGAATAGTTTGAGTGAACTACCCCTTTAGCAAACAGCTGAGAGTTGTTAAGGGAGAATGGTTTGAGGATTTCCCAGCAGCAGCCGCCAACCTACAGGACTAGTTTTGACCAGAAGGATCAAAGCCTAGGAACCCAGACCAAAACAGAGCTGGCAGTTCTAAAAAAATCCTTCTCCCAGGAGATGGGCATTGTTTTTTTAGATGGGGGACCAGATCTAGACACAAGACCCTGCAGGAGTTAGTCAGAAGAAATGAGACCTGCCTAGCTCACCACAGATTTGTGACCCTTTAAAAGTAGGACAGAGACGAATTCAAATTGTATTTTTAAAAGTCTTTTCTATAAATACTTTGTTCCAACTGAAAAAGTATAAAGTTTTAGGAATGCTGTTTAATCAGCATATACCACTGATCATAGATGGCTCAAAGGAAGAACTACAGGAATCTGAACTCAGCTTCACACAGTAAGTGAGAATGGCTGATATTCTGGAGCTCTGGCCCCTGGTTCAGTCTAAGAATGAGAACTGCAGAATACAACCCTGGGATAAGTAAAGGCATGAAGCCTAACTACTGAGACCACTCAAAAGTCCAGGAAAAGAACAAAAGTGCAGCTACTACAGTTAGGGCTTTTGCACACTGAGGAAAGTTATTCGAAACTAATAACAGGCTTGAAGTTAAAGAGGGGTAGTTAAAGCACATTAAGCCTGTGTTCACATCCTCCTTCAGAAATACACTGACCTTAATTGGATTTTGCTCAATTTGCTTCCAAAACAAATTCAGCTAAACTGAATTAAGGTCACTTTAATTCTCAAGAAGAATGTCTATACAGGGATTTAATATATGTTTCTATATGGATGTCACGTCTACAGTGATTGCATCATAGTAATATCTGATTCCTTTCAATTAAAATATTATTCTCATTTTAAATTCCATGTTATGGTGATCAGATCTCCCCTTCATGTTTCATATTTCCATTTAATTCAAGACAAAATACGTATCACCAAGATGATTAAAAAAACTTATGAAAGGTGAAATTGTCACTGAATGGTCCTTCACCTTTGAATCCTCTCCTGCAGGTGCATCTATATCCATTCACCAGATTGTCACAGGTTCCTCCATTCTGGCACGGATTTGACCTACACTCATTTTCCTCTACTTCACAGTCCATTCCAGTCCAACCTGGGTCACAGAGACACACATACCTGAAAGAGAACAGCATATTTCAGTATTATTCTGAAGTGCTTCTATTCACAAAATTAGGCAAGTAGACAACCTTAGAGGAAATAAATGATTACCCTTGTAAACATGACTCATCAACTTTTCTATTAACTTACACCAGGTGTAACACTTAACAAATATTAAAACAACCCAATCGTCAAAGCTTCTTTCCAGTTATTAGTCCTTTTAATAAAGTACACGTCTGGTCTGCATTGCAGTTTTCTTGGCAAACTATGTTAACATATTTATTTGAGCAAAAGAAACAAGGTGACAGTAAGGAAGAAAGATGGTTTTGAAATACAGAGTTAAAACAGGGAAATGTGTCCAAATTAAAGCAGCTGGAATCAGCCACCACATACTCCATCAGCTTCCAAAGCCTGCTAGATATATAGCAACACTCCACCCATGCGTCAGAGCTGAGGATCTGGAGACTCATCCTTGAACTCTAGCCAATGCTTTTGACACACTGGCCCTCAAATGGCTCCTCCCATCCCATAATCTCCTCAGTATCCTGAGGCCCAGCACCAGATGGAGAAGGGCGGAAACGCGAGAGGCAATGGTAGAAAATGAAGGATGACATGGACAGAATGAGATTTTTTTTTCCTAAGCCTATGCCAAAGTTGTATTAAAAGACCAAGACAATCTTCTTGGCTTGTACAACCTATCATAAGAGGTTACCCAGACTGGTATATCACCCCATTGCTCCCAGGTTCCTAAAGGTCCGTATCAGAACATACACCAAGCATGAAAAACCATCATCTCTCAGAGGAGTTCAAACACATTCAAATAGGCTTCTCAAATGGCATGGATCCTCTCCACCAACACTTGCCAACCAACAGTCCCCCTGAAATCCCTGAGTTCAGCAAGTTCACTCATCAAGAGGTAATGGACACATTAAAGTAATCGACCCAAGACCTGAGAATTCAACTCATGGCTTTCTGGGATACTAAAATAATCATGAATAACTGATGCTGCTTGAAACCAAAAGAGCCAGTATCTCATTCAGGAGAAGGAGTCTCCCCTGCCTCCTGCAAGGCAATACAGATAAAACCAACACTCAAACCCACCTCACACCAGTTCTAGCTTCACACCATCCAGTGTCACACTTCCTTTCCTTGAATAAGACCATAGAGAATCTAGCCAAAGGCCAACTGAGTGTGCATCCAGAGTTAATATTTTAGACTTGGCCCAATCAGGATTCAGGATAAGACATGGGCATGAAAATATCTGAGTGGCTCTAAAAAAAGGTCTCCCACGGCTAATGGAAACAGGGTAGAGAACCATTCTGATCCTCTTATACTTCCACAGCATTTGACATGGCCCACCACAATATTGCTGCCATGCCCAAGTGAACTGATAGATTCAGAGGAGAGCATTAAATGAAGTTATCAGCCCTTCTGCAACTCTGAATACTATGGAATACTGCAGCATTTCTTCACACTAACAGAGAAGAATATCCCAAAAAAACCCACCTAGACTTCTGCGATAAAGACTGTGATCAATGACTCTTCTTCGCTTCTCAGGCAAAACAGAACTTGCTACCACAAGCAGGGTGAAGCTCTTTGGTGAGGGAAATGGAGGTTTCTCAATGACTAGTTTGAGAACTTGGAACACACTTGTACAGGCCCTCACAAACCTTGCTCTCCATGCAACCTAACTTCTCCAACCTGTTTTCTCCAACATAAGCATATTGCAGCGTAGTACAGTCACAAAAGAGACCAAACCAAAACTGAGCACCCCACTGCACAATTTTCTGTCTTTGAAAGGTTTGCATGACAAGATACAGCTAGCCTACACTGATCTCTTCAAAAATGGTCACAATCTGCTGCAACATGAACAAGTTTCACTTAACATAAATTAGAAAGAAAATATCCCAAGCTTCACTGCATATTATGGGCATGTTCTGAACAAGACTAATTCAAAGGTGGAGGCACTTTTAGAATATTTAGGATTGCCTACTTACAATCAGCAAATCAAAATGGTAAAGAGAGAACAAAGTAAGAACAAAAAGCTCAACTGCCTTCATTGTAAATGGTACATAACATTACACTCTTACATGTGCTTTTTTCCCCTCACATCTACCTATTTGCTTTCAAAGACATCTGTCAGTGACTTCCTGCTGCTACCAGTTATAAGATTTTAAAAGATAGATGCGGCCTTTGAAGTTACTTTTTTCAACTGTTATGGTGGAAAAAGTTTCTTTACATATTGCAAGTCCTTACAGACTAAAATCTCTATCTAGGACTATAGTAAAAACAGCTAAAGCCTACTGAACGCATGTACAATTTTTGCATAAGAACTTCAAAGTACTTAACATGATGTAGAACTCACCCGTTGACATCATGTGTGCAGTTGCCATGCACACAAGGACTATTAAGACATTCATCTGTCTGTGAGTGACAGGTGGGGTGATGGTAGCCTTCAGGACATATACATCGAAATCCATTCATTTCATTGACACATGTTCCACCATTGTGACAGGGACCAGAGATACATTCATCAATATCAGTATTACATCTTGGACCTAAACAGAATATCACTTATTAATTATTTCTTATATAGATGCATTCAGCATGCATGCAGGAACACTGAGTCACTGCATCTTGATGCTTGTCAATGCCAAGTCAGCATAAAGAGATCAATTCTGCACATTATCACAATTTTATTTGTTTTAAAAAATCAATAGGATTTGAATCCAATTAGTATTTTTGTAAGCTGGGGGTATCAAAGCAGACCACCTGTATTTAATACACTTTTTGAAAATGTGAAAACGTTGCAACAAAATTTGTATTTAATAACTCCATAAAACTCCATTTGACTTCCCAGCTCCTGTAACCTTTATCTGTTCCTTAAGGTACATGCTTGACACTCTAGAAAGGGCTTCCCATAGCTGGGGTACTACTACAGATTAAAAGGTATTCCACGCTTGAAAAGGAATGTATCCAAGTCAAGAAGTCAGGCTGCAGACAAGTGGCTGAGCCGAAGACTGAAACACTTTGGTGTATTAAAAAAAAAATCACAACTCTTTAACAGAACAGCAAGAATTTAACTGAAAGGCAAACAAGTGCCCCAAAAGTAAGGGAGACCCAAAGAAAAATTGGTCAGGACCATGCCTTGATCCATTTTGTTGAACTGGGATGTATTTCTAATTTCAAGAAAGGGAATTTCCTTCTTTTAGTTGGAAGGTCACAAAGATGCCCATAGAAATGCATAAAATATGCAAAATCTCATTTGGTGCAACATCTGAGAGAAAAAAATGGAACACTTCCAACTGGAATCATTCAGTTAACGATGGTAAAAATAAATCATATCATAACTAGGTATCAAGCATATTGCTTCACCTGCAATTATTTTATGAACTTATTATGCAATACAACTTACAGAACATACCACACACGTCAGCCTTCTTTGACAAAGGTCTTAAAAAGCTAGGAACAGGTCTAGGGCTGATCTACTGTGATACTCAATACAGCTTAAAAAAATTATAGACCATTGAAGAGTTATGTTTAATACTTGCAGAATACAAACCCTTATGACTCTAATAAGAACAGAACAATTTTCACACCATCGAACATAAACATCTGTGTAACAGTACACTGGCTGAGTAGAAAATAGTGAAGCCCTTGTGATAATAAGGCTGAATAGCAGCTTAGCACATGCTGTAACACTGAATGAATGATTTGCATTTGCACTTGGATACATTTTACTTTGTAGACAGAACTGGCCAAATTCCCTAAGCACTATTTAATCAGAACTCCTCACCATGATGTACAGTCTTCTTGTTCCAACAAAGAAACTGTAAATAAATCCATTGAGATTTTTTGAGTTACTATTTCTTGTGAAGCTGCAAAGAATGGATTCAAGATTGGACTTAACATGTTGACCTGAATGCAAGACAACTCTGCATTTAAAATGACTCCCCCAACCAAACAGATTCCTATACATGGAAAAATATAAAAACTGGTTATAATTTTCCAAGTATAGAATCTAATTTTTGGAGAGTCATCTAAAACGTGTTCCTTCCACTGCTGCAACAGGGAAAGGAGTGGCGGTGGGGCAGTGTTTGGGGGAGGGTGGGGAACGGAGGCCAGTCAGTAGGGGAGCCTAGTGGCTTGACCTCTGCCTCACAAAATTTGCTCCCCATCCCCCTCACCACTTGTTCCCCCCACAGTACCTGGTCCCCCACAGCACCTGCACTTCCCAAGCACTGCCTCCCCTCCCAGTGCCTAGTTCCCTCTGTCTGACCCCTGTCCCATCCCCCACTCCCCTTACCCTCCTATTGTGACTCTGACTTGGCTTGAGCCTCACTCTGGCCCTAACCCAGCCACGCAGCAGCTGTTGTAGTGTTGGCAGCTCCAAGCTGACCCTGGAGCCCAGGCTAAACAGGGCCAGAGCCTTGCTAGAGTTAGAGGGCAAGCAGTGGTGGCAGGCAGAGGTGGCAGGCAGCAGCTGCAGCTCCAACTAATCCAGACCCTGGGTTGGGGCCCTAGCTGGAGCTGCAGCATCCACCTGTGCCCCCTCTGCCTTTTATTCAAATCCTAGACTAGGGCTTCTTCCTCACACACACATTAAATGGGGAAAAAGACCCTTGTCTTGGATTCAGGTAAATACAGTAATTACATGGTAAGAATGATACTTCTTTAGCTCGCTGGCAAAAAATGTTAAATTTAAGATTAAATTCACTAAGAACACCCACTAAATGGACCACTGCCTATCAAATCCAGGGACAAAAATCTTCACAACAAAACTAAAGACAATTATCAGCTAACTGAAAGATTTACCGGTAACTCCTGGGTTGCAAATGCAACTGTACTGGTTAATGCCATCTATACAGGTCCCATGAATGCAGGGTTTATTTGCACAGTCATCAAAGTTATTCTCGCAGTTCACTCCTTTAAAAAAAAAAAAAAAAAGAGAAACATTCAATTAAATCCAGGCACAACTTAACAAAACAATGACACTGAAATTAGGTCTCCTGAAAAAAATAAATCAAGTTAAAGTACTCAAACTGCTTAGAAATAACACGTTGACTTACATGATTAGAATACCTATTCAAAGACTGAGTGAGTAATAGATTAATTTGGATCCCCAGCATAAGGAATCAGCCATATTGGGAATACGTTAACTACAATATTCATTTGGAAAACAGACTCAATATTTGACACAAGGCAAGGCAGTTCTGATTTTTTTTCTCCTTTAAAAACAGGCTCTTAGGTGGTCAGAGCATGGCTCCCATGGAAAAACATTTCACAGGATGGAACAATTTAAAATCAGGGTGATACCAATAATTTTTCTTGTTAGTAAATGGAATGATTTAAGTCCATTTAGCCAGGGTGATTAGTTGTAAAACTACCATATTTTCTCACATGCAACATGCCCTTGAATAAAATATGCACTTTGTTTTTGAAAGCAGAATGAAGACAAAAAGGTATTTACTTAAAAATACTGATAAGTATGGTATTTTCCCCAAGGAAAACATGAGCAACTACAGTTGGGAAGGAGCAAAACACTGTGGGGCTGCACTGTTAACCCCTTTGATGTAGGACACTGCAGGTACTGCTGCTTGTTAAGCCAAAAAATGCCCAAAGGCTCCTGTTTTTTTTGAGCGGAACTGGGTGGACACACAGCAGTCTGTCAGCTTCTCCAGCATAAGCCTCTGCCAGGCGAAAGAGAAAGCAACCATAGCCAGCAGGTAGGGAATCCCTTGTGCAGCACATGCAGCATTACTTTCTCTTATCCCCCTCTGTTTCCTGAGTCGAGGCTTGTGCAGCAGAAGCTCCTATTACTAAATTTCCTTATCTAAAGTATGCACCCTAATTTCCAGCAGCTGGTTTTTGGGAAAAAGGTGTATGTTATATGTGAGAAAATGTGGTAATTTGATAATTTTTCTTCAATTTTAGATTAAAATTTAATTTTAACTGACTTGCACTGGCTTTTTCCTAATGCCACTCATGGTTCAGAATCCTATTTGGAAACAATGCTAGAGCCAAAAAACAGAAGACTGAAAAATCAAAGTCCTGAGCCTAACAATACTTAAATATAGTCTTACTTATAAAAATAGTGCCACTGACTACAACTGGACTATCCGCTTGTTGGAACCATCAGGAGCTAATTTATAACAAAAAGTTTTTTTGATATCATGTCCACCCCTTTGAAACAGTTTTTATTTTCATGCGAATAATTTTGCCTTTCAATATTCTAACAAAGCTGATGAAATCCTATACACAGGTCCCCACCCCTCTTTTTTTTTTGAAACAGAAGCTGACATCGTACATCAAAATTTGGTCTCTCAAGTGTGGAATTTAAGTGACTCAAGAATCATGCACGTTAAACCCTGACAAGATGCATGGCCTGGCTGGAATCTTTCAGATTTCTTGACCTGAAGGTCAATACATCAGGAGGAGGCTACAGCTGTGAATACAGCACGTGCTATTTGCTTATCAATTTTACATTCAATGGTAAATTTTACATTCAATGCTTTTCCACTTAAAAGGCAATAGTGGCACCCTGAACTCACCCCTTTTCACCACAAATAATCATTTTAAGTGTGAAACTTCTTAGAATTTTTTATTATACCTAGATACTTTCTGCCAACAGCTAGCATATTAGTTTAAAGAAACAAGCACTTTGGAAGTTTAAAACTATAAAACAGGTAACAGAAAAGAGACAGAGACATGTATATACAGAACTTTTCTGACTAAACCATAATTTTTTAAATAGTTTCTGAAGTCTTCATTTTTATCTACCCTACCGTCCTGTCCCTTATGTACCTGATGTGCCTGGTAAACAGTTGCATTGGTAACCATTCACCAAGTCAATGCAGCGTCCTTGATTAAGGCACGGGTTGCTGTAGCATTCATCAATCTGTTCACTACAAATGGCACCCATGTATCCAGGATTGCAGACACATGTGTATGAATCAATACCATCTTGGCATTTACCATGGTGGCAAGGGTCAGGATCACAATTATTTATATTTTCCTCACACAAGATGCCAGTAAAACCTAAAAGGAAACAAATCAACAGAAGCCATTTTAGAGGCTAACAGATGTTATGATGGAATCTGCATTGAGTATCAAACAAAAATATGCATTCATCATAACAGGAACACCCCCCCAGTAAAATCGTACATGGAACAAAAAACACTGGCTGTGTACATAATCTTTAACCTCTCCCCTAAACATGGACACCAGCAGACAAAGCCACAGCATGCATAGCACAGAATACTACAGAAGAACCTGGATGGAAAATCTTTCCAGAGAGAATTACCTAAAATGCATTCATTTCAGACAAGCCAGAGGAAAATGTACCCCTGACTATCAAACCTATTTATTCACATCTGTATCCAAACAACTGAAGGCACTGTCTTTCCTTCAGATACTCCATGTTCAAGTGTTCTGATAAGTCAAACCAGCATGAGTTGACACCTGGATACAAGCTGAAAACTGCAGACAAAGACACTGAACTACTATTGCTGTACAAAATCCAGCTGGGAGAATAAAATAGCCCTGTAGATCCTTTCCTTGGTTAAGTGCCCTAAAAAAACCCAAAATAAACACTGCACTGAAAAAAAATTATGACTATTTTGCATGCACAAAATTAAAACAAAGGTAAGACAAAGTGCAAGGCTGAAAGGGACACCATCATGGGTCTACCCCATACGTAAGTAGCTTTTATGGTTCTTTTGGAAGAAAAAGACGCTGGATTTTAGAATTTTAAAACTGAAGTGTTTTCATTATCTACGCCTAGTAGACTTTACTATTTTTATTATAATAAATTAATACACCGGCCTTACAAAGTGAGACTTTCTGCAGAATTTAAGGTTTAGGTCAAGAAAGCGTTCTGTTTTTGCAGTTGAAAATGTCTTTTGAATGCTCCAAAGCTCAATCAGTTGTAAAATGACAGAATGCTCTCTTGCCAAAGGCTGCAGACAGGTGACTCCTATGTCTCTGCAGATTATTTAGAGCTGTCCAAGCTGAAGCAGAATGAAGGCTCAACACAGCCTCCTGGGTGGGCAGCACAGAAACCAAGAAGAATTTGACCAGTTTCACGCTAAATTCTGAACATGAGAAGCAACAGCAGAAGCTATTCACTAAAAGGACTGAACAGAAGATTGGGAAAGGAATAAGAAAAAGCAGAGGATTCCTGAAACAGCCACTGGAATGGGGGCAAAGTAGAGGATGGTGAATGCACGAAAATCTTTCAGTCAAGTGGTTCTGTGGTGGGAGCCTTGGGGAATGAAAAATGCTCCTTCTGCCTTCTAGTAATGAAGTGGGAAGAAGGCACTACAAGCTTCAAAGATTGAATGCCAACACAAATTGAACCCATCAGTAAGGTTTAGGGACAGCATCCTAGCAGACATCCTAGGGAGCAACTGGGATTTGTAAATGGGCAACCGCCTCCCCTTTTTAAATGCTGGTTTGTGGCTAGTTCACTATCATTTCCAAGCTCTGTGAATGTGCGCTTGAAGGGATAGATATGGCAATTGGAGTAGGAGAGGCGGGGCAAGTTAGAAAAGTCATATATAAAATTACATTTAGAAGAAAAGAAAGAAAGGCAGATATCACATTGTGCAGGAAAGAAATGTGTACAGGCCTAGAGGGGGAGAGAAGGGGAAAGAAGAGACATGAGCTATGAGTGGAGAAAGAGAAGTCAAGTAATGTCAGGAATTGAAAGAAAAGGCAAAAAGCAGGAGAACTGTATGTGGTCCGGCAATTTGTACCTTTCATCTAGCTTCATAGCAGTCAGTTCCCTTCTTATGAATATACTATATAACTCAAATACAAGACAAAGTTCACCCCCCCATCAATCAGCATGGGGAAAAAAGCCCCTCATCTTATACTCACATACATGGAAACCTTATTAAATACATTGTCTATCATTAAACTGCTGCCAAAAGTAGCATGTGCTCAGTAATGGAAACTGACTGCCTACACTAAGCATGACTACAAAACACATGGCCCATATTCTGCAAACATACTGATAGGAACTTTTTTTTTGTTTTGGTGGCACGAGGCCTGGAAGCCACAGAATTCAGATGCCCCCTCGTCTTGCTTGCTCCTAGCCAAAAGGCCAAGGAGCAGCTAGGGGGAAAACGCAAAAGCAGCCCCCCATTACAACAATTTTTTAAAAATTTTTTTAAAGGGAAAATTGTTCATGTTCCAAGTCAAATCAGCCAAATCGATTCCAAATCCACGAGTTAGCCAAGAACCATATGTGGCCCTACTAACAGCAAGCATCCTCCACCCCCGCCTGGGGCTTCAGATGCTTCCATATCCTTTGGCAGGCATTCAATGTGCAAGCCCAAGCCTGGAGGCAATGGGGTTTGGATGCCCCCAAGTTTTGCTTGCCCTCAACTGTATGGCTGTAGAAGCAAGCTAGGGAGGAATCTGCCATTTCCATAAAATTGGCATATGATTTACCATATAGTTAGGGACCTTCCAAGTTCAAAGTGGGAGTGGGGTGTGCTGTGACTCCTTTAATCTTGCAGGTTCCCCTGTGCACTGGCCCCACCCCCACTGATTGGCAGAGAGGCCCCACTACTCACTGCTCGCTCCCGACTGGCAGGGAGGCAAAAATCGCAGTTTTAAACGGCACCATTTTTGCTACTCTCTGCTGACTGGGCAAGGGACCCTAGCAGCCACACTATTTGTTGGTGGCTGGCTGGGAGGCAAAAACAGCACCATATTTACAATAGTGGTTTTCACCTCCCCACTAATCAGGAGTGATTAGTGAGGGGGGGGGGGTGCATGGGGAACATACAAAATAAAAGGAGCTGCTGTGCCCCTCCACTGCTCACGCCTGATCAGTAGGGAAGTGAAAGCCACGGTTTCAAATATGGCAGGCATGCAGCTCATGCAGGCAAGCAGGCAGGCAGGCCAGGGGTGGGGGGAAGAGGGGAAATCAGGCTCGCCACTTCTCCCCACCCACTTCGTTGGAGCCTGCCTTCCTGGGCTGCTGCCAGGCTGCCTGCACAGCCCAAGCCACGTGGAGCCTGGTGCTTCGCTCCATGGCTGTAGGGCAGCAAACAAACTCCTTGGAGGTGTTTTAGTTTGCTGCTCCCAAAGTCATTTAAGGCGCATTATGCTGCTGAATATGCTACAACAGCTGGAATTAGTGCACAATATGCTGCCGACACATGCAAACACGGTTAAAGTGGTGCAAAACCATTTAACCCGCTTTAAAGTGTCATGCACATATGCCCCTCGTTCCGTCTACACATGCCCTAAAAGTATGTTTATGGAGTACCTGTGCTAAAATTTGAAGCAGTTTCAAAAAAAGGTAAAATGCATCAATTCTGGATAAACTAAGCCTATGGGGTACCTGTAGTAATTTGCCTATATGCAAATTACTATAAATATATGTTATTTCTAGATCAGATTTTTCAAATTTTCCCCTTACTTCCATATACCCAGGGAGAGTATGGTCCGACAGTAAGGAGGTGGGAAGCGGCTGGAGGGGGAAGTTAGGAGTGAGAGCAGAGGGAAAGGGGCTACCTGACTCCCCAGATTTATTTTCCTTGCTGTAGCAAAGGGAAGGGGACAAATACAAGGCAAACCTCCAATAATTAGGTTCTATACCTGGAAAACTTAACTAATTTTTACATTTTCCATACACAGAAACTAATTATTGGGGGGCTGTCTTATATTTGAGTAAATACAGTATTATCTAACCAATATTGAAAAGAACAATACAATGAATATATTCAACCAATGCTTTCTCATGTCTGACCTGTTTTAATAACGAGTTAATTTATTACTTAGAATACTAACCAGTAACAGTACTATTCAGTCTAGCAACACAATAGATTTCTCTCATTCAGCGACAGAAAACAAGACAAGCAAATATTTTTACCTTGGTTTAAAAGGCTTAAGCCTAAAGCTAAGCACTGTAAGATACACTTCTTTAAGATTCATTAATGCATTGTTAAGATATAGATGTCCCACACCAGGGATATTTAGAGCTAGCAGTTCTAAGACATCACCATTTCACCTTTATGTACATTTGGTTGCCTTCAATCCTATTTCCCACGCCCCCAAATTCCCTATGGTTTGACTCACCCTAGGGTCCCAAACCACACGCTAATTCAGCACCTACTTGTTAAAGTGCTGCTCACCCTCCCTCTATCAGCAGCTGGATTTAGCTCTGTCTTCTCCTGGCACTCCTTTTAATAATGCATCATTGTCCATTGTTGCTTCTTTGCTTATCACCACTGGAGTGAGGTGACCCTATATTATTGGCACCAGGTTCTTCATGATTCCAGCAGATTTTGCAAAGGATTCGGAAACAAAAGTTCCCCCTCTTCACTAAGCAAAAATTACTTGGACCACACACCAGGTTGAGGCAGACGCATACTGCTTCCAAGTCCAAAAAAACAAAAAAAAAACCAGGCTTTTTCTTTTCCCTGACAGAGAAGTCTGTCACATTGAATAATCTAAGGGTAAACCTGAAAACAACTACTCATTCTCTTCTGATTTGAGTCATTCCACTCTATATTTTAAAACTTCCTCTAAAAAAAAAAACCCTAATCTGTATCACTATTCCACAGGGAAATTATCTGGACAGAGGGAATAATTTGGCTTTAAAATGCAGGCCAGGACAGTAACAGACATTTTAGAACCTGCCACCATCTCAGTTCAGAACATTTTGACAAGCGTGTCACTGAAGAGGTGCCTCCTAGCAGCTGGAATTATTTCTCCAAGTAAATGCCACATCTAGACAGTTACAATAAATGTTCGCTACCATCAAAAATAGTGTATGAGAGAGATTTTCATGCATCAGGGTCCACATTATAGGAATTTTTTTGTATATATTCTTTTAAAACAGAGGAAAAGTTTCCTTTACCCGAAAACACCAGAACTATAGCACCCATTTCTAATAAATGTATAGTAATCTTTTATGAGGATAGCCAGCTTCTGTTAGGCTTATTTTGGGACACTGATGTCTGAATGAAATTTCCTTTGGAGAAGCTACCTTTCTGACATAACCAGTCATGGTCATTTGTAATACCTGAGTGTCACTCAACTATTTCTCCAAGAGAATCTGGATATGTGATTGCTTTCTAGTCAGTCATTAGCTTGTATTAAATGCACAGATGTGAGGTCCAGAAGACAGCAGAACAATTCACCTGGCCTTCCTGTATAACAAGCTATGCAGTTCCAACCAATGATTCCTATACTGAATGTGGTAACAGGCAAGTTACCTAGCAAACATCTTACAGAATGACATCTAGCCTTGATATAAGGTCTTGATACAACAGAAAATATACCACAGCTCTCAGCAATTTGTTTCATTGTTTAAGGATTGTCCTAATATGCTGTGCATTAGTCTTTCTATTCTAAAACTGTCTATGAACTTTCCCCAATAAAGCCAAATGCCATTTTGGCAAATTCTGATGCTTCTTATGGAAGCCATGTGGTAGGTGTTGTACAAATATACAGAAAAAACATGGACCAAAGAGCTTACGGTCAACACCATCCCTATGGAAAAACATGGTATTAGACTAGCCTTGACACCCAATACTACTTCCCTTCCTCTGGGAAGAGAAGGGCATGCCCAGTATAAATATCAGGATCAAGGAAAAAACAGAATAGAAAAGGGAGAAAAGAAAGTCTTATCTTAAATTAGACGTTTCAGTTCTCTTGAACTTTTAGAACTCTAAGCTTTTTTCTTCTAGGTGTACCTCTGCAGTTTGAACAGCACAGAATAAATTATCTCAACTAGACATATTATTGCATCTTGAACAGCTATTAAACAGAATTAGATTATTTAAATGCTCTGCTAGAAATAAGAGGAAACTCATGTGAATCCATCCAGCCTTAGAGTTCTCATCTTAGACAAAGGCGGCTCTGGAGATTAATCCAGCCCCCCCCCCCCTTT